AGTGCTTTCTGTTTTGCTTTTACTCCTCCTTGGGTATTTAATGGAAGCCCATAGAGAAGAACAGTGGTGGGCATTTGAATGTTATTTGCACTTGGGCCTCCCAGCTGTTGCACACTGATAAGGTAGACCATTCGTGACCTTTAGGAATTTGGGGAAATTTTTGCTGATTCCTTGTTAACTGTGTGGTAGCCACCTCTTTCCAGTTTAACGTCCAAAGCTACAGTTGACATTTCATCGTTCCTGGGAAGGTGTTCTCACTCGTTGCAATTTGGTTCCTAGTAGACTGTGGCAGAGTGCAGAATCTTAGGACTCTCAAAATCTTTTCTCTTTGTTGGCCTAAGAACTATATTCTCTTTGGAAGTAGAGTCTTTTAAAATCATATTTTAGAAGCAGCTGGTTTTTCTACTCAAGTCCTCAGCTGGAAGGAGATGCAGAAACTAAGTTATTTCCAAAAATTCCATAACCATTTCATCAAATACACTTCAGATCATGTTGTGAGATGTTTCTGGTAGAACTTTAGACTGTTAACAGTACATTTCATATATTTCTTTTCTCTGTAGTGTTACAGTCAGATGGAACCTAACACTACACCATTCAGTGGACCCTTCTCTTGGGTGGCAGGAACATGCTCTTATTACTGATGGCCTCATATAAACATCTGTACAGGGTCCTGGTTGAGGAGGACTCCCAGCTATATGGTCAAACAATTACTAGCTGGCTGATGATGCAGATTAGGCAAGTTGTCTGTAGTGAATTTGCAGTACTTTTTAAAGACAGCTTAATTTATCAGTTTGGGCAGTTATGTGGTGTTTTGTATGCATCTTAAGTTTCCCCTCTGTGAGTTCTTAGCTACCTGCCTCTGGTTCTTGCTCTGCTGAGAACATGAACCATTGCCTCTGGTTATTGCTCTGGTATCCCTTTCACAGCATCTGTTTAGCTCCTGCCCAAGTGTACCCCAACACAATGCCTAGCCAAAGTAACCCCAATCTTGAGTCTAAGTCTAATTTCCTCATGGTCTGCAATTTGGCTCTCTATGCTCAGAAATGTCTTGGTAAAGAACTATTAATGTGGTATTGTTAGGGAAGGCCAAGAGTTAGGGTTTTGGGAGAGGGGGCCTATTGTCCAAAAGGCAACTTAACAACATACAGTTGCTAGCATTTCAGAATGTAGTCTTCAAACTGCTTGTGACTGCTTAGTGAAAGAGAAATCAAAAGAGGAATGTGGGCTCTTCAACTGGCCACAAAACAAACAGGTAAACTGAAAGCAGTAGTTGCTGTTCTCACCCTTCTTGCCACACGGCTGACACAAACTAATAGGTAAACCCAGTTAGTAAATTCAGTCAGCTGTCTCCTTTCTCACACACACATCTGGAATCTTAGGTCCCACAAACAGCATTTAACTGACCCAAAGTTAAAAACTACCAGAAACAGAGTGATTATTTATTTCTTCCTTCACTCGTCTAAGGGAGTGAATTGCAGTTTTCATTTCATGTCCACTCCAACAAAAGCCTCAGCAAAGAGTCAGAGACAGCATATGACCATCCCCCCTCTTTTGTCTGCCTTTGCCCCATATTACAAAGCTCTGCTCTCCCCCTGTTCCCTGGTTTTATTAAAAACCCCCCCCCCCCCCCCCCCCCCCCAGTTTCCCTCCTGGTCTCTACCTCCTTGTCTAAAATTATGTGCTGGGAAAAGCACTAACATTAGGCCAAGCCTTACTGGAGACAGAGATGGTGCTCCAGTAACAGTGCCAAAACTAATAGAAACCAAATTAATAGACAGAGGATTGGGGGAAGGCTTGCCTTCCTGAATAAACTAGTTCATACTTCCCTGGATGGTCGCTTCAGATGTTTAATACAAGCTGTTCACTCGTAGCCCTCTTCTCCCTTAGAGTAAATACCCCAGTGTCTTCTCATATGTTTCCCATGAGCAGTTTAAGGAAAGGAAAGTATATTGACCTGACCATGGGTAGCTTCAAAATTGCTATTGTATTTCTAACTTTGGTCTACTCTTCTGCTTTCTAAATTTGAGATAGATTAGGATTATAATAATTACAGACTTGATACATTACTGCCATGTTTTTTATACTGGACCACTAATTTTTAGAAAAAGATACTTATGCATACAGGTGAAAGCCTCAAATAATCCTACATATTTAAAAATAAAGCCAATGATCTTTCACTTCCTTTTGCTTCTTTCTTCAGCAGCTTCCGAAAAAGCTGTATAGCACATGGTGTCTTGTCCCTTATCTATACAGCTTTTTGTTTCCTTCTAACTAATCACTTTTTTATTGTTGGATGACTTGTCACTCAGTCTTTGCTGAGCCTTCTCTGAGGAGTTTCCATGCTCTGGGTATGATGATCAATGAAGACTGTCAGCATGGCGATCCCGAGATGCCTAGATTTGAAAGCACAGCTAGTGTGTCTGTGAGGACATTTCCAGAGAGAGTTAGATCATGAGGGCTCTCATATGATCAATGGCTTAACCTTAAGAGTCTATTGTAAAGTGTTGGGAATGGGAAAGCAGAGCCTGCCTGGGTGAAGGACGTGGGTCATTGAGGGTGTATCTTCGAGCTATGTCTTGAGCAGTAAGATGGTTTGGTGGGAGAAGATGCTTTTATGCCTGATACTCTGAGTTTACTCTTGGGAACCCACATGATAGAAAGAAAGTACCAACACAGGCAAGTTGTCTTGTGACTTTTCTATGAATGTCATGACACCCATCCCCTTTAATAAATAAATGAGTATCATCTAAAAGAGAAAGTGCCTATCTTGCTTGGCTTCTTCTTGTCTCCATTCAGCTTCTCAGCCACTCTGAATTCTGTTGTACCATGCATGCCCTCTGTCATGATGGACTGAAACCTCCAAAAGCTCTCGCTAACCAAATCCTTTCTTAAGTTGTTCTCTGAAGTGTTTGTAATCTGTAAATTATTTTTAGAGGTTGCCTCTATATTTTTACACTAAAAAAATTGACTTTTTTTGAGTGGACACTGGTTGCCTTCAGTTTATGTGTTTGGACCCATGTACTTATGGTAATGACAAAGTCTGACCACATGGATATTGTCTAGCCTTGTGACCGTGCCTTTGGGCACTGTTGCTCTCTGCACTGCATGTGGTAGCCTTCCATGTTGACACTGCTTTGTGGTTATCTCAGTTTGCTCCCTTGGTTTGGTTGGTCACAGCCTCCAGTGGCTTCCTGACAAGTGTGTGGGGTATCTTCATTCTTGCTAATGTTTATGACATAGCTTAGCCAAATAGAAACTATGGGAACATCAGTTTTCCTGGGAATTTTAAGGCATTTTGCCATTGCCTTTAAAAATGTTCTTTTTCTGGAAGGAATTTTATTCACAGAAGACTTACAATGAAAAACTGATATCTGTATACACTTTTCCTAGCTTCTCCTGATGCTAGCTAACATTTTATATAACCACTATACACACGTCAACACTAAGTAGTTACTATCCGTACATCACTACTAACTGAATTACAGATTTCAGGCATGTCTCACTGTAAAGAAACTTTTATTTTTAAATCTCTCCAGCTATTGACAATTGATAGCTGGTGGAAGAGAGAAAATCAGTTTTCTATAATGGAATGGTATGTCAGCCACACTCCAGGGCAGGTCCCAGGAGTAATTAGCTAACACAAATCAGGCTGTTTAGTTTTTTTTTTTTTTTTTTTTTTACAACATAATGTTTTTATTGATTATTTGGGATTCTCATACGATGCACCCCAATCACACTCGCTTCTCATTCCTCCCAGGTCTACCCTCTTATGCCCCTCCCCCTCAAATGCATCAAGTCCAGTTTGTGTTGGGCATATATTCATTGAAACATGATCAAACTCCCAGTGGCCATCCCTTATGATAACTGAATAATTTTGGCATCATTAAGGTTTTTTATCTGTTTTTTTTTTTTTTTTTTGAGTGATTAGGGAATCCTGAGTTTATATGTTGCCAAAGGAGTGGGGAGACTACAGGCCTATTTGCAATTTTTTTTTTTTTGGAGACAGGGTTTTTCTGTACAGCTTTTTTGAAGCCTGTCCTAGAACTTTCTTTGTAGACCAGGCTGTCCTTGAACTCACAGAGATCCGCCTGCCTCTGCCTCCTGAGTGCTGGAATTAAAGGCGTGCACCACCAACCACCATCTGGCAATATTTTTGTTTTTTAAGAGGCAGAACAAGCATAAAGTTTCATGTGTGTGTGAGTGGAAGATATCGGGGAGAGAAAAGTGTATGACTTCTTGGTCCCCATTTGGTGGAACTGTGTGGGAAGAATAGGAGGCGTGACCTTATTAGAGGAGGTTATCACTCAGAACAGGCTTTGAGGTATCTGTCACTCACGCCATTCCTGGTGTGTCCTCTCTGCCTCCTACTTGTAGAAAAGGATGCAAGCTCCCAGCTGTTCTTGTTGCTATGTCTTTGCTACACTATCAAAGACTAACCCTTTGAAACTGTAAACCCCATTAAATACTTTTTCTTTCTAAGTTGCCTTGGTCATGGGGTTTTGTCCCAGCAATAGAAAAGTGACAGTACATCAAAATTTGAAGAACTACCTTAATCACATTAAAAAGTTTTTGTATGCAGAGGAGGATGGGGCATTGGCATACAGGAGAAAAGTAATTAAGTCAGCAAGCAGGAGAGGAAGGATTGGGGGGAACTAGACTGTGTCTTAGGTGTGCTGATGTATTGTTTTGGGGCATTACTTAGAATGCCACTTCCCATCTTTGTATAATATAGTGGTTATATCTGTTTCATTTGTTTGCGAGGAGAATGAAATGAGACTATTTCAGCTAGGACATGTAGAGTGTCCAGTGCACAGAATAGTCTCAATAAATGTTGATACTGTCCCCTTGGACACTTAAACCACGTAACTGCAGAGACTGTGGAGGGAAAGTATTTGCTTTATGGAAAGTGTGCTGCAGCCTCCTATTGACTGGCAGGAGAATGGGGACTGCATTTCCTTACCATTATGTTTGAAACTCTTTTTCTCCTTGTCTCAATGCAGGGCTTACCACCCAAACAATGGAAGGCAGACGTTAGCCACCTGAGTTGTCCAGAGCCTACCTTGTTCGCCTTCTCATCTCCAGTGTCTCCGGCCCTGCATGGGCGATCGTTGAGAGATCTGTGGCTGCCCAGCTTTCAGCAGTCTAAGAGGGAAGCCCAAGCACTAAGGTGGCTTCTGGATAGGAATCAGAATTTTTCATCTGAAGACTTTTGGGCCCTAGTCTTTAAGGACTGATTTCAAAAGGTACTAGAATGACAGAATTAGATTAATTTTCTTGGAGGCCTTAATATTTGGAGATAATAGCTATTCTGTTGAGTAGCCTTTAGAATAAGAATGAATTGCAATAGTTCTCACACAGAGCCCTTTCAATTAATATCTGTAAATTACTTTTAGAGGTTGCCTCTATATTTTTATACTAAAAAAATCGACTTTTTTGAGTGGACACTGGTTGCCTTCAGTTTATGTGTTTGGATTCATGTACTCGCTGTCTTCTGTGGAAGCTGACCTAAGGTCAAGTGCTTTCCTAGCTGCAGCTCTAGCTGTGGATGAATACTCACCTCCCTGTCAGCCACTCATTTGGTATTTGGCAAGCCCAGTTTCGTGATGCTGAGAATGAGTGAAACACATTAGAACTTGGCAATGAGAGATCCCATCTGTTGTTCTCATCGATGTGAGTGAGTAAGAAAAGCCATGTCAGGCGTCTCTGTTCTCCCAGTCCAAAGGACACATGCATGTCTTCCTTAGTCTCTACACCTGCAAGCCACCTCACTTGTGAAGGGGCTGTAGCTGGCCCAAGCATAGCAAACATGGTTCTGGAGACCTTGTCCTTCCCCATTCCCTCCTCCTTGTTTAACTGTTATATTGTTCCTAAAGCTAGCCTCCAAGGTCTGTTCCCTTATTTTTTTACTTCCTGCCCCTGAGATTGACCACCAAGGTCCAGCTTTCCAAGCTAAAGTCCAGAAATAAAAAAAAAAAAACCCTTTGGCTATCCTAATTAACATGCCCAATCAAAATTAAACACTGCATCTTAACATGGGTTTTCCCTTTCTTATAAACTAACTTTTGCCTATGGGTCTCTTCTCTATCCAGACGCAAATACCCCTTCCCCCTCTCATTTGTTCCTTTCCCTTGCCCTGTTCTCTATCTCCTGTCTTTGTCTCTTTTTCCCTGAACTTTGTCCTGGGGCAAATAAATCTCCTTTGTACTGAGAACCTTCCTTGTGTTGGGGTGTCTTGTGCCAACCTTGATGCCCTTTCAACTAGCCTGGTCTATATTCTCTTCACCTGTGGCTTCCTTCCATTTCTCTCAGAAGTAGAATTTTTTATAAAGACATGACTCCTCATAATAACATGTCACTAATAGTTTCTTATACTATGGAGCAGAAGAGGAAGAATTGTCACATTCATGGTGAACAGACATTTGCTTTGGTCAAGGTGAAGGAAGTGAATGTCCTGGGCTCTCCTTTGGGTTGAAGCTGATTGTCATTAGGATGACATATGCAGCCTGTCATGGTAGGCAGGCAGTTTGTAGATGAGCATTTCCTGGTTTCTAATGCTGTCAGAGAAGTTTCAGCCATATTGTCTGTCTACCTACTGACTCTCTGAAAACAAGGGGAAGCAACACTGGCTGTCATTCCATTAGATGGTAAGGAGACTTCTGGTCAAGACAAAAGCCTGTTGATAACCTTTGTGTTCACCTCTGTGTCTTTAACTTGGGAATATGTAAGCATTGCTTTCCAGATGTGGCAGCCAGCCTGTAAGAAATGAGGATTAAAAACAGCACATTTATGATGAACAATAGGATCACCTTGCTGTGGAACCTGTCTGTGGAGAGGGTCTCCTCAACCTTATGCCTGTTGTTAATTCATCATGATTTTAGGCAAGCCTCTACCTCCCTAGGCCTTGGGTCTTATACCTTAAGAAGTGATTGAGATGATATTTGATGTTGTAATATTCTTTAATTCCTCAGGAAATTTCAAGATGTTTAATTTTATAGGTGCTTTTACTAAAGTGGGAATAAACTAGCTTAGATGTGTTTTTCAAGAGAATTATATTCTTTGGAGGAGGAGCATGTGTTTTTTACATATTGTATGGAGTATTGGAAGTGGAGGGGAGTATTATTATTATTTATATAAATAACATCAAAACAGTAAAAGTTTGAAAGGGGGTTGTTGGTGTAAGGTCAGGCTTTAAACTGTATATTGAAGGAAGTGGAATTCTTTCTGAATCCTCAAAATGGTCTGCAAAAGCATTTATGCCTTTGAAAAAATAATGTAGTAGCTTAACTTTCTCTCCATAAATGTCTAAAACAAATGCTCAGTTCATCCTGTTTCTTAATTTTCATATGTCAGGCAATTATTAACATTTTTGAGAATTCCAAATACAATGAATATGACGAATATTTAAAAAATGATGAGTGATTCTCCCTCCCACCTCTCTCAATGTCCTTGCAATGTCCACTCCTCCTAATTTGTAGATCCAGTCAGTGCTGCTCATATGTGCATGGGTGAAGGGACATACACTGGCACATAGGAACACTGTCAGTGGCCACATTCTCAATTGTAAATAGCTTGGAGATCATTTTTCCCACCTTTGCAGGGATTTTGACTGACATGATCTTCTGAAGGTCTTGTATAGGTAGCCCAGGATGCTGTGAGTTCATCTGTGTGATAGCAATGTCATGTCTAGAGGACATCATTTCACAACACTATTTCCCATCTTTTGGCTTTTACATTCTTTCTGTCCCATTTTCTCAATGTTTCCCAAACTTTGACTGGGGCAGGTGTTTGAGATAGATGTCCCATTTATGCTGAGTACTTAGCCTTTTTATTCTCAGCATGTTGACCAGTTGTGGATCTCTCCAGTTACTGCTACTCACTGCAAAAAAAATTTTCTTTGATTAAGGCTCTGTTATAGGTATAAACAAAATTTACTTCATTTCTTAAAATTATTTTTTTAGAATTTCGTAAGTGAGTACACTGTAATTACATCATTTCCACTCATCTTTGTCTGCCCCCTAACTTCTTCCTCTCTTCACTCATTTTCAGATTCATGACTTATTTGATTATAATTATTAGTGTTACACATGTGTGCATGTGCGCGCATGCGGACACACACACACACACACACACACACACACACCCTAAGGCCATTTAGTGTCGCTTGTATGTTCATGTGTTTAGGGCTGACATTTTATATTGGATCACCTGTCAGGGGTCTTGTTCCTAGAGAATACGGATTGTTTCTCTCTCAACAGTCACTGACTGCCTGTAGTTCTTTATCTAGGGATGGGCCCTTGTGTAATTTCACACATTTCCATTGGCATGTTGACTGGTATGGTCTTTATGCAGGTCTAGTTTAGGCAGCCATTTCGTTGAGATTTCATGGGTTCAGAATCTCTGTCATGTCTAGAAGACACTGTCATGGATGCAGCATCACTGTTGTGTCTAGAAGACACGGTCAAGAGTGCAGCATCCTTGTTCTATATAGAAGATGCTATCTTGTACCAGGTATCATGGTCCTCTTGTTCTTACTCTCTCTTTTTTTGTTTTGTTTTTACTCTCTCTCTTTTTAATTAAATTATCTTTCATACAACATATTCTAATCTTGCTTTCCCCTCCTCTGCCTCCTCCCAGATCTTCCCCATTTCCCCACCTACCCAGTTCTGTGACCTTGCTCTAAAAAACAAAAACAAACAAACAAACAAACAAACAAAACCCAAACACTTCCAAAACCCCACAAAAACTGAAAACAAAATATCCAGGCAAAACATCAATAACATTAGACAAAAAAATGCCTAAACAAAAAAGTCTACAAAAATGTCATTGAGTTTGTATTGTTGGCTAAGTACTCCTTGGCATGAGGCCTGCCCTGAAGTGTGGTTGATATACCCAGGGAGGCTGCTTTAGAGAAAGCTAATTTTTCCTTTGGCAGCAGTTTCAAATTAAGCATAGTTTCCTTGATTAGTGTGTGGGAGCCTGTGTACACTTCCCCTCTTCAGTGTTGTGTTGTACATGTACCTGTTGGGGCTGGATAACCCATGTTCACTTATTCTCTGTATCTTGACCACTTGTGAACCTCTAGAGTAGCCATATATAATGAGGCCCCATAATGATGAGAACTACCATTATCTGTGGCTGTAAGAATATAGTTAGAAGCTATATTAATTTAGGAAGAGGGTGGTAGAGAGTTCTCCTGTTGGTTCTGTGACCTCTCCAGCCATGGGTGGTTGGCATGAGTTCCGTAAGTCCAGTTAGTTTTCATTGAGGTAGAAGTGCCACTATTGCATATTTTATGCCATCTTGTTTCATCATAGTTCTTTTTCCAGAGTTCCATAGTAAAATTTTGACTAAACTTCATTGGAGTATGTATATCTCTAAGAATTTTTATATGAAATAAAGTTTTGGATTATGTCATCCCTTCCCATTTGTGAAAGGTGGAGAAGAGGAAATTCCATGGAAGTAAAAATTGGAGTAAAGTTTGGTACTCTGTCCCTAAAGTACTGTGTTCACTCATGTAAAACCTCCTTCTGAACCCAGATCTCTGTAACTAGAGATTAGTCTAGTTGTCAGACACCAAAGAAATGTGTCTTTGTGCAGTGGGTAGTAGTTAACACAGACACCTCACAAGTGGCCAAAGTGCAGAGAATGAGTGTCAGTGGAGGGCTCAGCTACAAATGGGTCATGTACATCACACCCTTCTCCAAGGCTCAGGGACCATTGAGGAAGATGATGCAGAAAGCTTGCAAGAGGCAGAGGTCAGGGAGGACTGGAGGGAAATGGTACCTTCTGGACATTGCAGCACTGCTGCACTCATGAACTCACAGCAGCTCTGGTTGCCAGGACAAGATCAAGCCAGTCGCTATAGCATGGAGTGGGAACAGATTCTTGAGCCCTGACTAGCAACCAAAGAGCAGTGGAGAGTTGATGTATTCTAGGTAAGGGAGAGTCATTTTTCTTCAATGGTTTGCCCCTGGTAGGTCAGCCATGCTTGTGTGGGTCATTTCACACCCAGGAGTATTTGGAATGCATTATTTGGATTCTGTGGGTTATTAAACAAACAAACAAACAAACAAACAAACAAAAAACTGTCATAGGACATCAGGGAAAATATTTTAGAAGATATAGGGACAATATTTGTAGGTAAATATTATCAAAGTACATTGTGTGAAGTTTTTGAATTAGTAAAAATTTTTAATGGAGTACATTTCAATGAAAATAAATGTGGTATTATGGGACTCTTAGGTACCCACAGATTTGAGACTTACGTGCTTCAAGACTTATTTTTGTTCCTTAGCATATGCTTCTTCTGTCATTAGGGTTTTTCTAATAAGATGCTTTTTTGCTTC